TCCAAAGTGCCTTAAGAACAGCACAGGTAGGGTTTGTGTTCTTTCATTTTTAGTGCTCTGGCAATGTGGAGAACTGAGAAACATCCTGGGTACAAAGAAATAAAATTTTACACATTCTGATAATCTTTATCAATCTCCCCATTTCATCTTCCAGTTTTCTTCTATGAAAGACATGAAGCAACTAGGCAGGTTTTATGACTATATATTAAATATTAGCTTGTTTCCCTTTTTTCAGATGCTGTTTGGAACTGGGGAGTGACAAGAATCGAACCTGAAGAGGTTCATAACATTTCTGGTTCTCACATTTGTAACGTATTCTTTTGGTTTTATCAGTCACCTCTTGCTTTGATAGTGACAGATGTGTGTACTCTGTAATTATGAAGTTTGCGCTTGAGAGTCTTATTGTGCTTGAAGACTGAGTCAGTCTGAAGGATTGCAGGTGTTCTTATAGTATTGGTTAGCGTTTGTGGGGGTTTTTTTAATGACTGTCAAGAGTGGCCCTCTGGCTACACCATAAATCACAACTAGTACTTGTTAGTGGCTCTGAGAGAAAGATGTTTGATCTGCCAACAGGAATGTGGCTTTTCCCCTTCCTATCACCCTGTTTTGTGATTGATTGCTTTTCTACTATATCCAGAGGGTATAGACAAATCATAAAGGTAAAAAATGATAAAAAGTGTAAAGCTGTGGTGTGTTAGAAGTCTTTTCAAAAACTTAATGATGAAAAAAGGCTCACGGGGTATCTGACTTAATGTTCCTAATGCTAGCATGTGTGATCTGTGAAGAGAACCTGTCTTCTTTGTTTAGAAAGTGGAAAACATCTGAAATGTTGAACAGCTGAAAACTTAAGTAGATATTGTTGTGATTAAATCTGCTTCATATTTTGAGTTGGGAAAATAAGCATGAGAAAATTGTTACGGGAGACTTTTTTTTTTTTTTTTTTTTTTTTTTTTTAAAATAATGCCAAAAGGAATGCAGTGGAATAGTGAACTGTGTCAGTGAAGATCAAACTGATCTCAAGAATGTGATATTTCAGTGGAATAAATTTCCAGACTGAAGAATATATGTGAGGTTTTATATTCGTTCAGTATCTCCTCTCCCCTTGCCAGTGGTAGTTAATAAGTCTGTTGTACTTTCTGTCTAGAAACTTCCCACTTCCTATTTTTCACTCTGAACAAAGTGTCAACAACTGGAAAAAAATCTTTCTTTGGCTCATGAAAGACTTCCTAATTTTGTAGCTTTAGAAAGGATCAGCTAGCCTGGCCTGCACCATCCAGGATTTCTTTTAGCAGATGCTTGCTTCAAATCTAGTAGCAGTGGATTGTCCTGAAAGAAAACTGAACTAAGGAGTAATCTTTGTATTATTGTTGCAGGCTGTGAATGTCTTGTCACTGTCAGAACAACTAGAAAAATCCCTTCTGTCGGATTCACCTTTATGTCAGGCAAGGAGAGCTGGAGATCGTCTGTCCACAGCAATTCAGCTCCACAGCCAGCACAAGAACAGAGAGAATGGTGTGGTCAAGTCCAGTCATGTCTTGCTCGTTAGGGTTTTTTCTACTGGAGACCAAAAGATTAAATGACACCCAAAAATGAACTAAACAGTGCTCTTCAGGATGTGCTTTGTAAAGAGTGCTTGCTTGCTTAAAACAGATGTTGGTATAGCTGCCCTAACTCTTTGCTGTTAAACCTGAGAGCAAGGGGCCAAGTGCAATCTCCTCCTGCTTGGTTGCAATGCTTGACTTGAGAGTCAGCTAGCTGTAGAGGTTCTTCCTACCTCTGTTCCCCAAGCGAATGGAGAAGATCAGTCATTGATGAGAACAATCTGAACCATCTTTACTGGTTATGATTTTGACGCTGCTAGTTGATGCTTGGTGGCTATTACATGATCAGTGCAAATGCCTCTCCTGATTGTGGAGTTTGATCTTTGATACTCATGCCAGTTGTTGATGTTGCTGTATTAGTTTTCAACAGTGGGAAGAAACTTAATCCAATGTGATGTCCACCAGTGTCATAAGGAAGAGAAGTGAAGCCTCCTTCACATGCGTTTTTCAGGCTGCATATAGATTTGTAAATTGTAGGGGAACAGGAAAAAAGCTAAGGAGGCTTATTTATTGATTATCAAGCAGATTAAAAAATTCATACAGTGTAATGTGGGTTTTTTTGTTGTCGCTGTTTGTTTTGGTTTTTTGGTTTTGGGGGCCTGAGCTTTTTAGCATGTTTGAATTGACCATGTTTCCTCTGTTTCACAGATTTTGACTTCATACGTACCAAAGGTAGAGGAGGTGTTTGCTAGTGATAAAATGGACTTATGTGGATCTCTCCAGCTTTCAGCTAGTTTTAAGGCCAATATTTTTCCTCTTAAAATTTGAAAGTGCTATCACTGCAGACCTTAGGGTGAGAATGAAGCACTCAACATCTCAGACTAGAAGCCTTTAGAATAAAGCTGGTCAATTATTTATCATGACACTTGTACTGTGTCTTCTGCAGTGTAGCCTCGGGCTTGTAGGCAAGGTTGCAATATAAATGATAGTGTTAATATACTTGTTCTCTGGAATGATAGGTTTGCTGACAGTCTGGCACCTGAAGAGCTGCCGTTCTCTTGGCAAGTGTAAGCATGCAAGTTTAGGCAATATATTACTTGCGCATGCAATGATCTCTTTACTATGGGGCCACTGAGATGAGCTCTTTACTGAGATGGAGCTGCATAATGTTGGGAGCTGGCTTTTCTGTTAAGAGAGCCTGGATTTACTGGGACTTAGTTGTCTTAATCTGCTGCAGGCTGACTGTATGCTTCAGCAGATTTTGGGGACGGTGTGAATGATTAGCAGCTTTGTGAATTTCTCTCAGTAGTTGAAATGATAGTTAATTAAACATGTCAGCTTGAAAAGCACTCAAGAGTAGTATCCAGTGCAGACACAGAATAATAATTTTGGACCTCTGTTAGAACAACCAACTGGCAGTAGCACATAACAAAAATCCTTAGCCCGAAGGACTTGACTTCCTGTATGCCTGGAATTACCTTAAATAATACTGGAAATCAGAACACAGAAAAGTACTATTTCCTTTCTTTGCCACTAGTACACTTTTTAATGTTGCTCCTTTGCTGAGATGTGTCACTTAATACCATTATTAAATTCTTAGCTCTGAATAAGTTAAATAAAATAGCCAGAATCCTGACAGGGCAGTCCAACGCTTGGCCAGACTGGGAGCTGACAGTCTGCACTGGGGTCATGGTGGCTTGTCACTTTCAATGGGGAGGTATGTTCCTAACCAGACATCTTACTTTGCTGATCTACACAGAGGAACATGTCTGTTTTAACAAGCAAGCTGTATTTTTAGAGCACAATATTTATGTAGTAAAAATTGGAGTTGATGGTCTGTCATCTCCTAATTATTTCATTTGATGCCTCTTCAGACCCTTATTATTTATTAGACATAATAGTGGATGTGGCTACTTTACGTAAGAGTGTTTGGTTTTTTGTTTTTTTTTTCCCCTGTTTTTTTCGTAGGGTGAGAAAACTAATTTCTGTGCCTGGATAAAGGTAGATATAATAATCTTTGCTCTACTGCTTTTCTTGCTTTTCCCTCAACAGTTAATTAAAGCTTATAAAGAAACCTTATTCTCCAGAGAGGTTCACCCTTTTCATATAAAACTTGATGAACTGGAAACTGAATTATAGTGTAGATTATAATATATAATATCTATACTGATAGATGCCAATAGAATCTGCATTTGTCTGCTGATTTGAGGGGTCTGGAAATACAAACCTAGATTTTAAAAAAAGTGGTAAAGGAAGAAGACACTTCTGCTTTTTTCCACCTAGTAGAAATGTCTGCAACTGCAATCTTGACTCTTACATGGTTACGTTTATTTTTTTTTTAAATATACCAGATAGTCTGGGATAAGTTTTCCTGCTTTGAGGCAGGCATTTTTGGAAGGATGCTTCCTCTCCCTCAGTGTGAAATATTTCCTGTTCACAAACACAATTTTCTTCTGTGGTTTGACCTGACTTTCACATGTCTGTGGTGACCACATGTGGTAGTTTTGCCTCATCTCATACAATAATCCCAAAATTTTGATGGAAAAGCATTACAGTTTCTTTGCATGGTCTTTTTTTTTTTTTTTTTTTTGGTTTTTTCATGTGGGGTTTTTTTAATGAAACGGCAACGTGTGCCTTTGCCTGTAAGCAAATTCTGAACCAGTGGTTGTGGAGTCTATCAGTTTTCTGTTGAGTGCAGTTATTTCTAGCCCTGTCCATTTATAGGGATACCTGTCTAGCACTGATAGAAAAAAATGAGCGAAACCCTGATAATGTGTGTATGATTTGGGTTTCTGAAACATAAAAACTTCTCTGCTGTCCTCCACCCTGCAAGTAATTGCAAATCAGGTGCACATCCACTGAAGCCCAGTGGGATTGCACAGAAAAACGGGACCTCTTGATTGAAGTTAGCCAGTCATTGGGTTTTACTTGATCTTTCAGTGTTCTCTAAATGTCTGGAAACGCCTAGCAATGTATTTTCAGGAGGAAAAAGGCATTATAGCATGCTTCCAGTGAAAATGTTTCGCCAGTTTTCTGTGTGCATCTATAATTTGGCTTTCCACTCTGTTAGGAAGTAGACCCTACTTGACTCGTATGCATTTGTAAGTGGATGTTTTATGAATGTTTTCCGCATCAGGTGGCATTTACAGCTTTCACAGCACACAGCCGAAGTTTTATGGCCTTCACTTCTATGTCACTTTTGTTTAACGATCTTAATTGATTCTTTGCAAAGTGTTCATGGCTGACTGACTCCCTCAGTTTTTCTGGAGTGGTACAGAGCATGGGATTTATCAGTGTGTAATGCAGTGGAGCCTGGCACTTGGATGAACAAGTGTTCCCCCTGTACTTCTGCTTTGCTGGCACAGAGACCACTGTGTCTGTATGGACCCAGGAATTCGGCACTTGCCAGAGAAGACACGTATGTGAGTGTGCAACTTGTTTCTTTTTTCCTTCCCAGCCATGTCTCAAGCTGTGCAGACAAACGGGACACAACCATTAAGCAAAACATGGGAGCTCAGTTTGTACGAATTGCAAAGAACGCCTCAGGTAAAACATAATAAAGAGCTGGCCTTTATGGCAGGGCTTTTTTTATACTTTTTAAAATGTGAAGTTTGATGTTTAAGGTTTTCTTTTTTCTTTAGGAGTGTTGACTGCCTATTCTAAATGATAGAATATTAAAAAATAAAAATCCTTCCAAAACAAAGCCTCTTTCATAATACAAAAAAAAAAAAAATTTGATCTGTATTCCTTTTTCCGTTATTTGGCAGCATGGGTTGTGTATGCTTGATTTGTTTCTCTGTGTGTCTTGTTTTGTCTTCTTACTGTGTTTCTATTTAAAAGAATAGTAAAACTTGCAATCTCTGTCAGGAAGTTACTAAATTCCATTAAAGAACTTTATTTTATGCTAGGAAGCAATAACCGATGGCTTGGAAATAGTGGTGTCACCCAGGAGCTTGCACAGTGAACTGATGTGTCCCATCTGTTTGGATATGCTAAAAAACACCATGACAACAAAAGAATGTTTGCATCGCTTCTGTGCTGACTGTATCATTACAGCCCTCAGGAGTGGGTATGTAAATATTACTACAGGGAAAAGGGATTTCACTTAAGATGAAAATGTGATCAAGGAAATCCTTTTAAGTCCTGAGTGTTGATGTGGATCAGTTACATGCTGGTGCACTGCAAGTTTCTGAATGTGTAGCACACCTTTCATATTTCATTCTTGTGCATTCAGCCATCTGTGGCAGACCAGATCTGGTTTTTACCTCATATGAAAAATTATCCCACAACTTTGTTTCTTGCAAGGAAGTGGAAAACCTCTTTTCTCTTCTTTTTTTTGCTGCTTTTTTTTTTTTTTTCAATCCAGTGACAGCAAACCGTAAATACACTATATTACTTACAAAAATGAGTCTCACTTCCTTTATTCTTCCTTTTTCCTAATAATAAATTGCAAATTGTGTGGCCTTTTGGCAGCAGTCCTGCTTCTGAGCTTCAGTACTGAAACATCCTATGCTAAAGTACCAATAATTTTTCTTGTATTCTTCAGTTACAAGTTCATATTTTCTTAAAAGCAATAGAATTCTGAGGTAACCAACAACAATTAAGTCAATGATGTGAGTATCTATTTCTGATAGTGGCAATTACCTCTGTTCAGAGGTCACAATTAATTTGCTCTGCCTGTGTAAATTCTGATGAGTAATTAGCAAAAATACATCAGAGGGAAACAAGAAAACCATCAGGAGTAAAGACATCAGAGTTTCAGGTATTGAGGCCTCTTCCTCTTGGAGGAAAAAAAATGTGTGAACCTGACATTTTAGTTAAATGAGAACAAAATGGTAGGAAGGACAAGACTGCTGGTTTTGTTTCCCCAATAATTAGTGCTTGAACTATACAATAGGTCCCTCAATCTCTGTTTTGTCCTGCGAGTGCTAGGAAGTGCCTTAATATAATTCCCACTAGACATGCATTTTTTTCTAGGTGAAAATCCATCCAGAGAGTTAAGGAAAGAACCAGTTTGCAGAGTGGAACTTTTGAACTCTAGTCTAAATACAGTTTGCTCAAACATACTTTAAAAAAAAAAAAAAAAAAGCAGGGGGGTATATATTAGGGGTTTTGTTTACATATCTGGAACTACCTGATCTGTCAAAAGATAGAAGCCCCATTCCAGATTTACTATAAAGTGTCAGTGAGCACTTTGACTAAGAATTGCAGCATTAGGGCAGACTCTTGTTATTGCCGGAGAGTTAGTATTGTTTTCTTCCTTCTTGTTCACGTCCAGCAACAAAGAATGTCCCACGTGTCGTAAAAAGCTAGTTTCAAAAAGATCACTGAGACCAGATCCCAATTTTGATGCTCTCATCAGTAAAATTTATCCAAGCCGAGATGAATATGAAGCTCATCAGGAGAGAGTGCTAGCAAGAATCAGCAAGCACAATAACCAGCAAGCTTTAAGTCACAGCATTGAGGAAGGATTAAAGATTCAGGCTATGAACAGGTGCGTAATCCGTGTAATTTGTCCACATGTAACCTTGTTTGCCTTAACACTAAAAATATACTGTCCTCACTCCCTGTATAGGTTGAGATTCCTCTTCTCTCCTATGAAGTCTGCAAAAATAATTTTTAACATTTGACAAAATAAGTATTAAACTTTTGTCTACTGATAGAAACCTTTTTATTACTCCCTGCAACTTCTCTGACAACCTGATGTAGGCAGCAGATTTCAGCGTAGCTTCACCAAATTATGGCTATCATGTCTTAGATAATAAACTGTAATACAGTGAATCCTGTACCAACATATCACCGTTACATGCAGATAAATGCACATAATGCCAAAACTTCTATAGGTACGTCAGTGACAAAAGGAAGACTAGCGAAAATGTAGGCCCTTTCCAGAAGGAAATGGGAGACCTGGTTACCCAGGATATGGAGAAGGCTGAGGTACTCAATGACTTTTTTGCCTCAGTCTTCCACCAGCAAGTGCTCCAGCCGTGCAACCCAAGTCGCAGAAGGTGAAGGAAGACAGGGAGAATGAAGAACTGCCCACTGTAGGAGAAGGTCAGGTTTGAGACCAGCTAGGGAACCTGAAGATGCACGAGTCCATGGGACCTGATGTAATGCATCCACGGGTCCTGAGGGAACCAGTGGATGAAGTTGCTAAGCCACTATCCATCAAATTTGAGAAGTCATGGCAGTCTGCTGAAGTTCCCACTGACTGGAAAAGGGGAAAAAAACGGGAAACGTAACCCCCATTTTTCAAAAGTGAAAAAAAAGGAAGACCTGGGGGACTATAGGCCAGTCAGTTTCACCTCTGTGCCTGGCAAGATTATGGAGCGGATCCTCATGGAAAACATGCTAGGGCACATGGAAAATATAGGGGGGGATTGGTGACAGCCAACATGGCTTCACCAAGGACAAATCGTGCCCGACAAATTTGGTGGCCTTCTACAACAGGGTTACAGTGTTGGTGGATAAGGGAAAAGCAACTGCTATCATCTGCCTGGACTTGTGCAAAGCATTCGACACTGTCCCACACAATATCCTCATCTCTAAATAGGAGGGACATGGATTTGATGAATAGACCACTTGGTGGATAAGGAATTGGCTGGATGGTTGCACTCAAAGAGTCACAGTCAACGGCTTGATGTCCGAGTGGAGACCAGTGACGAGTGGCGTTCCTCAGGGGTCAGTATTGGGACCAGTGCTTTTTAAGATCTTTTTGGTGACATTGACAGTGGGATTGAGTGCACCCTCAGCAAGTTTACTGATGACACCAAGCTGTGTGGTGTGGTCAACAGGCTGGAGGGAAGGGATGCCATCCAGATGGACCTTGACAGGCTGGAGAAGTGGGCCCATGCAAACCCCATGAAGTTCAACAAGGCCAAGTGCAAGGTCCTGCACCTGGGTCGGGGCAAGCCCCAGTATCAATACAGGCTGGGGGATGAGGGGATTGAGAGCAACCCTGTGGAGAAGGACTTGGTGGCACTGATGGACGAAAAGCTGGACGTGAGCTGGCAATGTGCACTCACAGCCCAGAAGGCCAATCGTACCTGGGCTGCATCAATAGAAGTGTGACCAAGAAGCTGAGGGAGGTGATTCTCCCCCTCTACTCCACTCTTGTGAGACCCCACCTGTAGTACTATGTTCAGCTCTGGGGCCCCCAGCAAAAGTAAGACGTGGACCTGTTGGAGCAGGTCCAGAGAAGGGCCACGAAGATGATCAGGGGGCTGGAGCACCTCCCCTGTGAGGACAGGCTGAGAGAGTTTGGGTTGCTCAACCTGGAGAAGAGAAGTCTCCAGGGAGACCTTCTAGCAGCCTTCCAGTACCTGAGAGGGGCCTACAGGAAAGATGAGGAGGGACTTTTTACCAGGGACTGTAGTGATAGGACGAGGGATGGTGGTTTCAAACTGAAAGAGGGGAGACGTAGATTAGGTATTGGGAAGAAATTCTTGACTGTGAGGGTGGTGAGACACTGGCACAGGCTGCCCAGAGAAGCTGTGGCTGCCCCCTCCCTGGCAGTGTTCAAGGCTGGGTTGGATGGGGCTTTGAGCAACCTGGTCTAGTGGAAGGGGGCTCTGCCCATGGCAGGGGAGTTGGAACTAGATGATCTTTAAAGTCCCTTCCAACCCAAACCATTCTACGATAACTTGTGAATTAAGTTGCAATTAAAACCTAAGGCTGGAATATATGGCATTTACACAGTATTGAAATTGTGGGTGTGCATTTATACCTAAGAGTGCCAGCTGGGAACGAGGCTCCCAAACTTTGTTTTGGTGAAGCATGATGTGATTTATATTTTTGATTACATTTAGATGAAAATAATGGTCTGAAACTGCCTGAAAAATAAAAATAACTATAAAGTTAAAATTATTTTAAAAGATGTCTAAAAGGTGTTTGAGGGATAGCAAAAATCTAGTCTTGTCTGTGAGTATCTTTTTGTAAGAAAGAATGAATTTAATTATTATTTGTTTAAACTTGAAATACCTCTGAAACTTTTAGTGCCTGTGTTTTCATATGTCTGACTTTTGGCATGACGGAGACTGAGAAAGGGAGGAGTTGTACAAGCATTGTGGGCCTGTACATTGGGTGAATTCTGAATGCGAATTAGCATTTATTTCTACCTATTTCTTACCAGGTTACAGAGAGGCAAGAAACAGCAGATTGAGAATGGCAGTGGTGCAGAAGATAATGGTGACAGTTCACATTGTAGCAATGCCTCAACGCACAGCAATCAAGAAGCGGGGCCTAGTAACAAGAGGACCAAAACATCAGATGATTCTGGGCTAGAACTGGACAATAACAACACAACCGTGGCAATAGACCCCGTAATGGATGGTGCTAGTGAAATCGAGTTAGTCTTCAGGCCTCATCCGACCCTCATGGAGAATGATGACAGCGCACAGACGAGGTAAATGTCTTCTGTTCCTCTTCATGTATTCTGCTGTTATTTTCTGGTGCTTTTATTTTCTGTCTCTTCTTGGGGCTTTTAAAAATCAATTTACTTTGGTCATACCACATCCTGTTTGACCATAAAACTGTTTCCATTGCAAGACAAATAGATGGTACTGCTCAGCTATTTTCAAAAATACAGTAACAATCTGTTTTAAGCCTTTGATCAGAAATAAAGATGTTTTTAAGGGTTTCTAGGATTGCAGTTCACAGTAGGTACTAGGATGATGGTATAATATCAGCCCCTTTCTACTTATTCTAAGATTCTTTGGGAATAAACGAACTGCATAAGTGTCAGCAGTTTTCAGAGCAGCTTTGTGTTAGCAGGATTTGTAGGCTGGAAGCTTTTTTTTCTTTTTTTTCATGATCCAGTCTGAGCACAGTCTCATGGAGTTTCCTCAGGTCTCTTCCTGGCTTTCTGTTGGCATCAAAGCACCACACAGCCACTTGCTCACCCCTACTACCTGCTTGGTGAGATGTGGGGGAGAAGATATAACCAAAAGGCTCAAGGGTTGAGACAAAGGACAGGGAGGGCTCACTCACCAGGTATGGTCACGGCCAAAAGACAGACTCAGCTTGGGAGAACAATATCAATTTAATGAACAACCACCACTGTCAAGGATAATGAGAAATGCAACTAGGTCTTAAGAACACTTTCCCCTACCCCTCCCATCTTCCCCGGCTCAGCTCTGGTCCTTCTTCCCCCCCCAGCAGCGCAGGGGGCAGGGAATGGGGGTTACAGTCTGTCTGGCACAAGGTGTCTCTGCTGCTCCTTTGTCCTCAGGGAGAGAGGCCCTTGCACTCCTCGCCTGCTCCAGTGTGCGTCCCTGCCACGGGCTGCAGCCCTTCCAGCAATGGGCTGCTCCAGCACGGGCTTCCTCGGGGTCACAGCCTGCTTCAGGTGCAGCCAGCTGCTTGGGCATGGCGTCCTCCATGGGCTGCAGGGGTCAGCCCGCCATCTTGCCACGGGCTGGAGGGGAATGTCTGGTCTGATGTACCTCCTTCCCTCCTTCCTTACTGACTGGGGTGTCTGCATGGTTGTTTCTCTCACATCGCCCTCCTCTCCTCCGCTTACAGACTCATGAACAGAAACTCACAAACAAAGAACTTGCCCAATTGGTTTTTCCCCTCTTAAATAGGGTTATTCACAGAGGTGCTGATTGGCTCAGCCTTGGCCAGAGGTAGGTCCAAACTTGAGCCAGGGGAGCTTGTGGAAGCCTCTTACAGGAGCCACCTCTGTAGCCTCCTCCCCTGCTACCAAAACCCTGCCAGACACAAACCCAACACACTTTCTTTCTTGATGAGACATCCCTCTGTAGTGTCTATAAATATGTTACAAGCTTCAGCCAGCTTTTCTTTTTCGTTTGGAATTGCAAGGGAGTTCTGGGGGTTGTTCTGAAAGGCAAAAAGAAAGCTAAGCTTCTGGGAGGGGCCTCATTTGCATCAGCCTTTAATTCTTGCACAAATAACTGAAGTGAGAACAGATAGTGAGACAATGAGGAAAAGTAACTTTAACAAGGAGCAGAAGTGCGGAGTGTGATGCATGTACAGTTCTTGCAGCTTACGGCTTTCTGTCCAGGCAGTTCAGACTGTATCTATGCTCAGAAGATTTCAGCAGTCGTAAGTAGTTCTCAAAACCCTTTGACAACCTGTTATTAGGTTTTTCATTTTGAGCAGATGACAGGGCTATTGTGTTTCTACAAAGAGCAGGAGGGCCTGTGGGAGAAGTGTCAAAAAGATGTAAGGGCACTTTGGAACAATATAATTTGGTAAGCTGCTTGCGTGTCTTGGGTGAAAGCAATTGATATTCTTGTTTGTGAACTGTCTTTAAAGGCTTTTTCACACTTAATGCTTAATATTTGGGGGTGTTGCAGATTCTTTTTTCCCATACCTACAACTCAAACGTCTTTGGTTATCTTTGTGGTTGTTGTCACAGATACATCAAGACCTCAGGCAATGCCACTGTTGATCACTTGTCCAAATACCTAGCTGTGAGATTGGCTTTGGAGGAACTTCGTAGCAAAGGAGAATCAAACCAGATGAACCTTGACACAGCCAGTGAGAAGCAGTATACCATTTATATTGCTACTGCCAACGGGCAGTTCACTGTAAGTAGAACTTCTGGCTAAGAGTAAAACTGAGCATCAATACATCTTTGATGCACTTAGATGGACTTTTCCTGAGGTGGCTTGGGGGTAACATTCGTAGTACTAGGTTGTTTATTTAGATAATTGCTTTTTAGGAAAATGTATGCGGCAAAAGCTTGGTTAGTAGAAAAGGAGGCATATAAATTACTTGGGGAAAAATCCAGTGATGCCAACAACTGTGAGCTGGCTTATGCCATTATTTTACAGTTAAAATTGAAGAGAGAAAGTATTACTTCATCTGAGCATCTTGTTTCAAGAGCAGATAGCTCTAGCACCAGAAAGCATCTGTTCTAAGGTGGCGTTTCTCCACTTCCATGCAGGCTTCCAATATTCCACTGTGAAACAGCTGTGAGTACACTTAGGGAAGAACCTCTCCTCTCGGTTGCTGACTTGCAAATATACTGATAAAACAACAGGGCAGTATTGCGATTACATTGAACTCTGAGCCTGGTTTTACACTTGGGCATTTATCTGAATAAAATCTGGTTAAGAGATAGGCAGCTGCTTTGCAATGAGAGTCTGTTTCAAACAGCTTTCGAACATGACCACAGATTGTCCCTTAAACAAAGGCAGAGATGCTTTTGGTGTAAATGCACATCTACTACTGCCTCTGTTTGCAGAGAGAGGAAGGAGGAAAACTGAAGTTCACTTTACTTACAACTATATTCACTTTGCAAGGGTGTTTTTCGGTGCTGTTTTAGTGAGATTAGCAGGAGTTCAGAATAGCTTGCATTGTTTTGACACCAAGTGGTTAGCTAGTAACTTGTGCCACATTATCGGTGACCTCTTCAAGTCAGTGCATTCCTCTGATTTAAGTAGTCTGTTTCTACAAACACCCATGTAAACCATCAGTTTTATTTCATTTCTGTTGTGATGTTCTCTTCTAGGTGTTAAATGGGTCATTTTCCTTGGAACTGGTCAGTGAGAAGTACTGGAAAGTGAACAAACCCATGGAACTGTACTATGCACCAACAAAGGAACATAAATAAGCTGTGCTGGAAAACTGACATGGGACTAACTCTTTTATAGCTGTGACTTCTTTAATATTCAAAGATGACATCACCATTATCTTCATGGACGATACGCGTGATGCCTTCAGGCGCTCTCAGTATACTTATTAATATGATTAGATAGTATTCTGGGTTGTATTTAATTTAGTCTTTGTTTTGGGTTTTTGGTTTTTCACTAGGAGACTAAATGACCTCCAGTGCATTCCAGTGTTTGACATGCTTTTTTTGTTCCTAATGCATGATAACTGAACGCGTGTTCCGGTTTGGAATGTCTTAATTTTGTCCAGGTAAATCTGGATTTCTAATACATTTGACGCAGTTATAGTAGCCTCTGTGAAGGATTGAGCATTGGATGGCTAAGTAAGTCTATTCAATAGTAACATATGCCAAGGAGCGTGTTAAATGTTATGATTTGCTCTAATGGTTATCCATAGAAAAGATTGGCAGAGAATTGATTTCTGATCATCTTGCAGCTAGAGGTAGTCTGATTCCCTAGAGAAGATTTATTAGTAACTTTCTTGTGAACAAATAGCACTGTAGTGAGAGAACTGACACTTTAAAACCTTGCTGTTTCCTGGGCTTAATACTTCAGGGCAAGGTAATTCATGAGATTGGTTTGCTTTTTAATGAACATTTCAGTCAAAAAACCCCTAAACAACCCAAACCCGTAACTTTTCCCCCATGTAGAACATGCCAACCTTGATGCACACTGCAGCTTCCCGTCTGGCCCCTGTTGCAGTGCTATCCTGTCCTCACAAGCTTAATTGAAGAAAATAATTCTGGAAGTTTTACAGCCCTACTCTGTTCCCTATAATAACAGATTTTTATTGTGACTGTATTATAATGTTCTGTAAAGGACTGTACTGAAAACTTTTTTTTTTTGGAAGCAAATCCCTGAAATTCCAGCACACGGACATAATGCAACATCAGAATGCTTTGCTTTATGGAATTCGTGCCACCAATAAGCTATGAGCTTATCCAGGCTTCAGTTTGAGTAGGGAGGACTTCAGCTGTAAGCTGCTCGAAGAGTCTATTTTTTTTATTTTTTTTTTTTGCCATAGCTTTAACAAATGTGGCTTAGCACTTTGGAAGACAATTTTAGTACTTGACAAAGTTTACCATTTAGTGTCTTAAATTTAGGTTCAAGTTTTAAAACTTGGCAGTAGGCTGTTGTGTGAAGTCCAGTAGCTGTTGATTTGCATGTTAAACTCCTCTTCCCTCACTCTGGACCTTGCTGTCACTTCATGGGGCTTGCTTTACCTGATGACATTGTGTCTTAAGAGAAATGATGTTACTGTGAGATTCCATTTGCTGTAGGACTTGCTGATGAAGTCTTCACCCATTTGCACCTGAAGCTAGAAGCAAAAAATGTTGCTGATTGATAGGTGAGAAGTAATACACTTTAAACCATACGGTATTGCTCCTTCCTTGTCTTGCCCATAGTTAGACTGGTTTTGGCGTGTGGTGCATACGTATTCAGATGCTCGGGGATTCTTTTGGGGAGGAGGTACCTTCCATCGCTTCTGTCTTTCAAGCCTAGCACTTGTAAATACGTGTCCATTCCAACTGCTGTTTCAGATCAGCTTGATTCCCATGTGAAAACTGCACAGCCTTCTTTGAGTAACTTAATTATTTTCTCTTAGTGGAAAGACTTGGGTTTTTGTGACATGAAACCGAAGTTTTCAGGCCCCAGAACACGGAGGGGGCAGTTTTTAAGGAAATACGTTATTCATGACTCTCTGATGAAATGTTGCATTGTATAGATTAGTAGTGCATGTCCACTAAATATAATCTGGGGGGTGGGGGAACAGTGATTATAAATGCTTTTAAAATTTATGCGGAAACTTCTAGATTAGTTGCAGCATACCTTCCCATTGTGATAGCTAAGGTAATGTCCAGTCCCTTAAGCAAGAGAGGTGTTTGTGAAGCTGAGCAGTCTGTCTAGGAGCTGTCTGTCACTTTGTCCCCAGTTCTTTAAAAAGTGTGGGAGAATGTGAAGCTTTTATTTTCATGTTGTAGTGAATTTACTGAATATTTATGTTCTTCAAATATTATATATATACTGTAGTTGTTTGATTAAACCATTGATTGCACTGTGACTCTTTAGTGCTATAAACTATTTTATTTTCAGAATGACTTTTCTCTTCCACCTTTTAAAGCCATGCTATTTTTTAAGTACATAACGTGTGTTAGGTACGGGTAAACCTAATAGCTGTAGTATCCAACTAAAGTCACACTGAAATTCTCAAATTGACAATAAAAGCGAAAAATGTTATCAACAACCTATTGGAAATGCCAGTGCTGCTTCCTCTTATAATTCATAAAAGAATCCCTTTGGACAGTTATTGTTTGTTAGTGCTGCCATGTTTGTGGTTGTCCCGAGGGAAGGGTGGGTAGGTACAGCTGACCTCCGCCGGTGTTGATACGAGTTGAGGCTGGCTGTGAGCACTGTTACAGTCTGTTGAAACTCCTGTGTGTTATGTGCCTTGAATGAGAAAGACGGAGACGTATAGAAGATGGCAGGTCTTCCATAGGTGAGAGGTCATAGGTGCTGCTGAACATCCCCAACTCTCTCAGCCTGTCCTCACAGGGGAGGTGCTCCAGCCCCCGATCATTTTTGTGGCCCTCGCCTGGACCTGCTCCAGCAGGTCCATGTCCCTCTTGTGCTGAGGGCTCCAGAGCTGGACACAGCACTGCAGGTGGGGTCTCACCAGAGCAGAGGGGCAGAATCACCTCCCTCGACCTGCTGGCCACACTTCTCTCCATGCAGCCCAGGATACGGTGCTCACATTGCTGGCTCATGTCCAGCTTTTTGTCCTCCAGTGCCTCCCACATCCTTCTCAGCAGGACTGCTCTCAATCCCCTCATCCCCAGCCTGTATTGATATCAGGGATTGCCCCGACCCAGGTGCAGGACCTTGCACTTGGCCTTGTCAAACCTCATGAGGTTCACATGGGCCCACTTCTCAAGCTTGTCCAGGTCCCTCTGGATGGCATCCCCTAGCCTGAGAAATAGGATGGATTTTCACAGCATGGGGGTTAAACCCAGCAACTTCCATTGCATTTAACTGTACATTAAGCAGCTTCAACAGAAAACAGTGTAGGATAACTAACGAATCACAGGTTGAGGCACATAATTTGAAAAGGTGAAATTCCGTTTTGTTCTTTGTTTTATCTCTACAGTTATCGCAACCTTTTAACCAGAAGGATGCACCTTGAGTTAAGAGGGAATGCTTCTGTACACTAAGAGTAGGGCTTCTTGAGATGTAGTGAACCGAAGTTCTCTGATTGCAGGAGGTCCCTTTCTGCCCACACTCCTGCTGCTTGCTGTGCTTACATGGATTTTCAGAGCTGCCTTTGAACAGCTTTAGCTCCCTGAAAGCTTCCCTGAATCACAGCTAAACAGAAAACACCCAGAGAGCTCATATGCTCATGGGCAGCTACCCTGTGCTGTATGCAGTGGGTAGGTGGACACGTCCTTCAGCTAAAAAGCATTACAGGTGCCACTCACTGTATACTACCCATACTGGTAACTAGATCATAGCCCAAAGCTTAAGTTTTCCATCACCCCCTGGTGTTTGTCCATGAGGACCATGTACTAGTCCTACCTTCTAACAATCAAAATTTAACCAGAAGCCCCCAAGCAACAGCCCTGAACCAACACCAGTGTTAACTATTGCAGGCCTGACCCTACCTGATGAACAACTGAGGCAAGTATGGAACAGAAAGAGCATTCTCATAGGCCTGAGTTACAAACAGCCCTTCTGCTGGTCACTTACAACAGGGAAAACGCCTTGTCCCAGATTATAGTTACTGATGCCAGTCTGACAGAGAAAAAAGCTTAAATTGTGTGGACAAGCCTGAACTTCACTTTCTCTGCCCTTCCTTTGTGCACAGCTGCAAACACAAAGGGATAGTTGCTTTGACTTGGAAAAGATGTAGACTACCTTCTGTTGCTTAGGAGGAGCCATTAAAGTAATCAATCAAAAATATTTCCAAGAGCAGGCTTCAAACTTTCTTCTTATAGGCCTACTGTACTGTAGTTGCAGCACTCTGTTTTGCTCCAGTTAACTGACTTTATGACTGGGTCTAGCCCACTTTTACATTAACACTGATGTGAGCAGTGTTATCAGCCTGGGGAGACTGGAGGGGTGGAGGGGAGGTCTGTTGTATTTTAGACCTGGTTGTATCTCTCATTGCCCTTGATGGTGCTGGTTGTTTTGTATTAAATGTGTGTTGTTATCCCCAAGCTGGGTCTGTCTTTTACTTGTGACCATAACTGGTAGGTGAGTCCTCCCTGTCCTTTATCTCAACCCTCAAGCTCTTTTGGTTGCATTTTCTCCTCCCCATCCCTCAGCTCCATGGTGCTTTTTTTGCTGGCTGGGTGGGCTCAAACCCCAACACACTGTAACAAGTAAGCACTACAATAAGCAAGCATAGATTACTATTTTAGCACTGTAATTGATTATTGCTATTCTCACCAAGGCAGCATCCCTACTTGGGGAGAAGAGAGATGCAGGCCCAGTCACCCAGCCAGTAGCTAGAGTTCTCACCCTCAAAATGGAAGATTTAAAATGCCAGATTTACACTCTTGGCAAGGTGGGACTGGACTGAGTCAAGTATCGTGTGTTGGTTGGCTCTTAGTAAGACTTGTTGTGTTGTCGATTGAGGTGAAGAGCAGGGGAAGAAGAAAGTTTAGTGCAGAGGTGATTGAAAAGTGGTCTGCTTAGTTTCACTGAAGTAAGGTCAGGCTGCAAGGCCTCCCCCTCACCCCAGGTATCACTCAGTTGATTCAGTCCTAGACCAGGGGGTGGAAGTTGCTCAAGTCTTGCCTTTGATCAGGTCCAGTGCTTATTGGCATAAGGCAAGTACAGCGCTCAGCTGCTGCTTTTGTTATTCTGTATCCAACAGTCAGTCATGTTACCCTTGGTTGGTGCTTAATAAGAAGCAATATTCTTACTGTGAAGTTTTAGGGATGGGTAAGAATAACCCCTCATGTTCTGCTCTTAGATAAACCTGGGCCAGTGGCCACCAGGGGCCAGGTTGAACACCAAACCTGTGAAAACATGGAAGGACTAGTTCAATTGTGAGAGCTGCTCCCAATTCAAGTGAAATACACAGGTATCTGAACAAAGTTTGGGG